AGCTCGATTTCACTCTTTTAGACACGCCTTTTAGATAGCCCAAAAATCGCCTTTTGGGGCTGTTTGTACAACAGTTGTATTTTCATAACGAATGAACGTTCAGAGCCAAGACACCTTTCATTTTGTACAGAAATGTTTGATCTACTTAATTATCTAGTTCAAAAAATGAAGGCCGTTATCTGGACAAGCCGTTTACTGCCACTTGTCCTTTACTGACAATAACTTCGATAAAATTCAGATCTGGTCTGAAGCCTAATCTGGACTCCAACATATATATTCACGGTGTATATTCTGTTTTGCTAAGCTATTCTATAAGTCGACGGTTGACAAAATGATGTTTTGTAAATATTCCTCGAGAGTTGTGTTGAAAGAAGTGTTGAAAACATATTCCTGCGGTATTCTTCTGCTAAGATCATAAACATGGTTTTTTTATTATTATTATTATTAAGCGCATATGTACCATTATAACCTTATGGAGACTTTTTAAATTAATGTATGCTCTACAATTTCGCGCTGATTACGAATCTCATTACTGGCGCCCAAAGTCGACGTATTGATGGTTTCCATTATACGGATTTTCAGCTTTTAACCATGTTCGACAACTTTTCTTCCGATTTTGAAGTCATATCTGGAAAGAGCGTAAAAGACTGAGCCCAGTCGCGTATTTCACTCATGGGATGAAAACTTTGTTTTCCCATAATATTAGATCGAAGTGCCCAAAAAACTGTGTTTTTCGCCGTTTGAATATATAAAAATATTATAGTTGTTTGTTTATTTTCTTGTCATAGGCGTAAAACTGTATTCTTTGTCAGGCTCAATACGTAATGATCTATTTGTTTTTTTGTTTCAATTCTATTTTTTTTTTCTATTTATTCAATGGTGATAGACTTGTAATTATAATTGCTTGACTTTTCCTACTTTCCTGTCAGCCATGTGTTATTTTTCTTTTTCTTTTGTTGTAGATTTCATGTGTTTGATGAAATAAATTTCAGTTTAGTTCAGGGACAATGGGACAAATAGAAATGAGAATTCTCATTCTTGAACATTTGTTCTGTAGGGTGACGGACATTTTTAAGCAAAAAGAAAAAACTGTCTTTGACTCACGATTTTTTAGTGATTTTACAGATTATTAGCAATTAACTGGTGAATTTTTAGTTTAGCAGTTAACTGGACACCTCAAAGCTGCCTCAAATCGAAACACTGAGTCAGCTCTGCGGAGACTACATAGAACATCCTTGGCAACTAAAACTTTGAACTAAAAAGATAATCTGAAAAGAAGAACATTTCTCTTTGAAATCGTGTTTCTTATATACTTACGCTATTACAGAATAAAACGGTGAATAACAAAAAACACATTTAGTCGCTTAAAATCAACAGTTAATCGACGATTTTTAAAAGAAAAGAAAAATCAGCAGGATCACTGATTAGTCTTAATTAATTTGCGATGTTAATAAGAATCGCAATATATCGCTGATTTTTAACAACTGGCAATTTTTCACGCAAGCAGATTAATCGCCAGTTGTTAAAAATCGCCGATATATCGCAATTTATGAGCGATTATAGTCAAAATCGCGATTATCTAATTGGCGATTTTATTGCTAATCGCAAGTGATCGTCCTGAATGGAGCGATTTTAACCACATAGGTTATCATTGTTTAGCTACCGACTATTAGATTATAAAATTTATAACTCAGTCGAAAATTTCAAAATGAGATGAAGACTTGATAATATTGTTATTTTTTTCTCCTATACATGCAATTATGTAATCGGAAAAATTGAAAATCACATTCTAATCCAGCATATGCTATCCGTCTTATTTCTTTTCATTCCTCTTATTTTAACACGCTTCTTCATGCAAGCCGTTCTTCGACTTGTTTCATAATTGACGAATAAGTTATTCATCTCTTTTGGTTTACGTGCTAATAATGAAAAGAAAAGATGCAAAAATAGCGCTTGTGAATATATTATGTTGTCTTACTTTAGGACGGATAAACTTATCCATTTTACCTTTTAATTTATATATATATTACTTTAGTATTTATATTATGAAGTTATTTATTTTATCTTTTAAAACGAAGTGGTAGGAGGGTTCTTAATCTGAAAGAGGGCACTTAAGACTATCTACCTAGGAGGAAAGATGAATATGTTTTTACTAGACTATCTGGAGATGTAAATTTCTGTAGAACTCCAGAAAATCTTACTTTTGAGAAAGATTTTTAAAATTCTTCCTTTTAATGAAAGACGATGTTAAATGGGTAAAATCACAATGCCTCGGCTATCCTCGTTCAAACGTTACTCAGCGATGATTTTGCGTTTTTAGATAGAGTGTGTCTCGCATAACGTTTCTGCTTTCTATGGGATCTAACCATGCTGAGAAATACCAAAAATATTAAAAAGTATTAAACAACTAACATTAAAAATCAATTAAATATTTTTCTATCTGAACTAATAAATATTTTTCTTGCTATAAGGTAGAAAAATATTCAATTATTTTGTAGAAAAAAACATTAAAGCTGGCGATTATGTTCATATTAAAGCAGTTTTTGGTCAGATAAAAAAATATTTATTTTTTTTTAAAATAATGGAAAAATATTGAACGGACTAATATTGAAACAAGGTGGGAAAAATATTTAAAGGGAATCAGCGGCTCCTTCTACATTTTGGGATAGTGTGGGCTATGATCTGAAGTGTTTAACTGACCTCCGTTATCATGTCTGAAACACACAGTTTAGAGATAATTCAATAAATAGTAATTAAACTTAATTTAGATTTCGAACAGCCAAAATCGGGTTTCTCAGAGATCAGTCTCATATTCACAGGTTTGATTGTAGTTTTTCTCCATGATTAAAACTAGCACAATAAAAACCTCGTATCAAACTGAAGAGAAAACGTTTGCCCAGCGATATCGATTTTCCAAACTTGAAGCCAACTTCGGTTATCGTTTTCAGAATCACCATACTCTATTCGCATAACGCTCCAATATCTTTATGACGAATGTTTCAAAATAGATGGCGGTCTTCATATTTTTTGAATGAGGGTTTTGGTTTTCGTGTTTTAGTCTTCAGCTTTTAATGGAAATAATAACAAAGTAAATAACGTTCGTTTTTTAAAAAGAAAAACGAAAGGAGATAGAGAAAGAGTAGAGTTAGTACGGGATAGGAAACTACAAAATAGTAAAGGACTCAAAATTATTGAGTCCAAGTATCAAATGCTTTGTTCACAAGATAATTGAGTTCAAAGTTGAGAGAAATTAACTGGCCGTCTAAAAGTCATCTGCGACATTAGTTTCGATAACATGTCTTGTGAAGAAAAGAGAACATTTGACACTGAACATCCGGATCAGGGCTACTAATAGTCTAGCATTTGCAGTCTTATTTATAAGCTCCGGTTACATACATTATGTATCACTTTTTAAACTAAAGGTTTGCTTTCTTGTAAAAATGATTCACATCTTTACCGTGACGTTTACTTAAATAACTGTAAACATAGTAATTAAACAAAATTCTGTCACGCTTGACTAAATTATAGATAATACCAACATGTACTTATGGTCACAGATGCATGGTTAATATATTTGTATACTTTGCACTCTTAAAACAGAGAACATACTATTTATCATTAAACTGGTGTCTTTTCTATATTTTATTCAATAGGTGAGCTGATTAGTTCTGCTTTTATCTCTTTAACACTAAAAATACGTAGACGAAACATATCCTTATAGTATCCTGGAACGATACAGGTTAGATCGAGCCGCAAAACTGCTAATGAGTAAGAGTAAATGCCGCTCAAAGCGACCAAAATAATTTTCGCCACGGAGAAAATAGGTTAGAAAGAAATTTCTTCATTATAGATTTCGAGTGGATAACTAATCTCATCAATGGAAGACTGCTAAGACTGTCGGCTTTTTGAGGGCACAAACATGAGATGACTGCATGAATCTTACTCCAGGCATGGCTTGATGGTTATGTTGCTTGTCAGGTACTTCAAAGGTACTGTGTTCGAACCCCGGCGCCAGCAAAGTCATGTAATAATCTTGGGCAAGTTACTTATGTCTTAGTGCCTCGGATAACCCGTCTTACAGCATGCTCACTACGTTGTGACGTACAGTACAGCTTCTTCGGCTGGTCCTTGTAGCTTTCTGGAAAGCTTGTACGTAGTTAGTGAAGTGTGTATGGGAAGCCCAAGTAATTGGGCGAAAGAACTCTGCGTCTGGCTAGCCTTCTGTCCAGAGCTGTGGTTAATGACTAGTAACAAGGTGGGTGACCATTTCAGAAGCTTGCCAACTAAAAGGAAAATATCGGACTATTGAAACTGCCATTAGACAGCACCCTACACTGGTAGCCGCAAGGTGGGGTATTCTTACATCTTCTTCTTCCTTATTGCAAGTTAGCAACCAAAATGCTTCAGAAGGATGATCATTGGACTGTGACTAGATCACTGAATAGCATAACTCAGCTTGGTGTTTATAAAGAGGAAAATGGGAAGAATATAAATTAACTAAAAAGAATCAAACCTTTTGAGTCAGAACAGTTTCAGTTCAAAAAGACTTTGCATGGTCAGTTTCTTTTATTTAGAACAGAGTTTATAATGATGAATTTTAACCTCGATCTAAAGGATCCAAGTCCAATCGTAGATTCTGTGACATTATCTTCAATCGATAAGAAATTAGACATGATTTTAAGTCGACTAGACAAAATCGCTATAAATAATAATGCTCCAAACCAGATTCAAGATGTAAATGCTGCGCCTAATGATGTAAGTGAAAACGAATGGTGACAGTTAAAGTTTTCTCTTCAGGACATATCAAGTGAAAATAAAAGTCCATTTTCGTAACGACAGACGAAATGAGCTCTAACGTTGTAGAAAATATTGTTTATTCTAACGTTTGATTGAAGTGTCGATGTGGTTTCGTTTTTCAAACGTGCCATCTATCTGCTAACTTTTGAAAAACGAAACCACATCGACACTTCAATCAAACGTTAGAATAAACAATATTTTCTACAACATTAGAGCTCATTTCGTCTGTCGTTACGAAAATGGACTAGATTTTGAATGCTTGATCTAGTTTTTCCTTGAAACACACTTGATTATGAGTATTTTTTTATGCTGTTCATAAATATGATTCATACAGACTTTTGGACAAAACGTTTTTTGAGGTATTTTTCTGTATATCTTTGCATCTAGATTATGAAATTAACATTTTTTGAAAAAGTAACATGCAGAGAACATGTAAAAAAGTTTTATTATTCCCACTTGATTTTTAAAGTGTACATTTCGATTTCCCAAATGAGTTCGTTGGCCTATCTGTAGAAATGACTAAAAATAGTAGCAGTAACCAGTTAAAAATCCATACCATTTAATTAGAACTGGAAAAATTCTTTAAGAAAAGTCGACGTTTCGAAAATTAAAATTAAAATTTTCAAGACAAAACCTTTGACATGATGCGAGGTTAAAAGCGGTATGATTAAAAAGAATAAAGAGAGAGGATAATACATTTTCAAAATTTTTTCTATGTAGAAGTGAGAGTGGAATGGACATTCTCATTGCTGGAGAAATATTACAAAATGTAGCAGGGCGTTTATTCCTGTCTCAGTCTTAGAGAAAATGTATTGTTTTCTCTACTATCATAAAAATAATGTCTTTTTCTCTCTTTCTCACTTACACATTCTTCCATGCAAAAAAAAAATTAGAAAAATGTATTATCCTCTCTTTTTATTTTTTTTCAATCATATTCACTTTAGTCTTGTACGACAGAATACTAAATATAACTTCATTTCTCTGAAAGCTAGCTCTTGTTTTCTAATCTCTTTTGCCAGTATTTCACTCATTTCGATATAGTATAGAAGAGGCTTTTAAAAATCTTTCTGAAAATCTACCGATAATATGGATTTGTCAGACATAAAACACATCATCTATACTCAGTTTCTGATGTTCTTTCCACTGATACTGGGTTAAAATTAAAATAATGAAGTTTAATCTTCAAAATTTGTGGTAGAGTCACTTTTTTAAGTCAAATTTTGACTTCAAAATTGTATTTATTCTTAAATTTCTGTTTACGAGAAGATGATGCATGTAAAGCTGTTTCCAATGGTTTACTTGGATATTTTTAATTTGAAATGCAAGAAATATATGAGCTGTCTCTATAATGTTTCCCGGAAAAAACTATACGATATCCATTTAAAGGTTTTTATTTCGCTCTATTGTGTTTAGGTGTCAGGAAATCTTATCGGATGGTGGAAATTCAACAATTCTTTTAACGATTCATCAGGCGTTATCGGAGATAATTATAAACTGTATGGTGAGCCTAAAATTGAAGATTGTTTTCTTGGCAAATGTGCAGTATTTAATGGTGACGAATCAATTGATGTGGATGTATCAAATAAATCACAATATCAGCTTGATTTATATACTGTGTCCATCTGGTTTCTCGCTGCTGATGGTGCAAATGGATGGCGTACAGCAGTTGGTTCATGGGAACATGACGTCGGTCATTGTTGGATACATTTAGGATTTGATGACAAGAATACTATCCAAAATCAAACAATGGTTTCGTCTGGTCAATGTCAATTTGATTGTGATTCAAATGTAACAGTTGAGTCAGATAAATGGTATCATGTTGTAGCATTGGTAAGTCGAAACTTACAGCAAATATGGATCAATGGAACGTTGGCTGGTGCAAAAGATATGTCAAGTGTGGACTATGCCGATGATATTCATCGTGATCTTCCATCAAATTATACCTGGTCTGAACAGAAATTGCACACACCATTACAGTATATCCATATTGGTTCTAAAAATGATGAACATCATAATCCGTGGTGCGGGAAAATAGCCGATTTGTCTATATGGAACCGTTGGTTAACGCCGGATGAAATTCGAGCAATGTACAATCAAAAGATTTCAGTTGATCAAATAGCCGCTGGTACACATATTCTTACACAAGAAGATGCAGAATCTATGCCACAGCCCGTTATCGCAGTAAACAGATCGTCTAAAGGGTTTCATATTGCCAGACAATCCTTCTGGTATCGGTAATAGATGAAAAAGCATGTTATATATTTTCAGGCTTTGTAATAACAAAAATCAAAAAGTAGGAGTAGGATTTTGAAGTCTCTTATGGTAGGATTTATATCAAAAAGTAGGTAAAGTAGCTTTTAGCTTTCAAACACGGACCATGCTGTCCAGGGAAATATTTTATTTTATTTTATTCTTATTTGTCTCATTTGAAGAAAAAATGTGAATTTTCACAGAAATATTTAACTATCTAGGACTAATAATAGAAAACTAACATATTCCATATTTATAAATTTGTATTTTTCTCAATGCTTTTTAAACATAAGCCATGCATATGGCGGTTCCAAATAAATCTTACTTCATTTTGTAGAACAGGCAATTCTGTATCGATTTATATGTAATAGAACATTTTAAAACACTAGAAATCAAATATTGGAGACAGGCGTAGATTTCATCGTTTTCTTACTTTTCTAAATTTTGATACAAATCTCAAAGATCTGGACATACAAACTATTTTTCAGTCATTATGTTTGTAGAGCAAACATTTTTCTACAAAATGGGACGTCGCCGAGCTCTGTGCGATGTTTTTTATGATTTTACACACACTGTACGATAAGCACTGTATTAGAGACCCGTCTCCTACTGGTTTTCTTCTCGGTTTTTATCCGTCAATCAAATGCAATAATTCCCATATGGTTGAATAGAGCATTGAAACTTACGTCTGGTGGCATGCTTTTTTCTTTTTATCAGATCATATTAGAAAAAAAATATTTAATTTTGTGAAAATGGCTGGAAAATGTGTATTATGTATGGGAAAAGACATTTTTCTCCTGTTCTGTGAACCGGTTTTAGTTTTGCGTTTAAAAACTGCACATGACTCAATGCTAGCTACTCATGTCAAAATTTGATATAAAATTCTTTTCTCCTAACCGTTCAAAATAGATCTTTTTAAAAACAAAGTTAGACAAGCTCGTGCAAGGTGCCCTAAGTGGATTTATACATGATTTTTAGACGATTAGGAGACAAGGATTTATATCAAGTTTTGACAGGAGTAGCTAACATTGAGTCATGTGCAGTTTTTAAACGTAAAACTAAAAAGGTTCATTAGTGAACAGTAGGAGAAAAATGTCTTTTTGCCTGTGATTTTACTAAAAACACAGAAAATTAAAAAAGTAGGAGAAAATTCAGAAATGAGAACATAGTAGGACGGTTTTATAGAAAAGTAGGACGTTTACGAAGCCTGATAACTACTCGAAATATACTTAATTGAAAAATTTCGTCAACAGTATGCTGACGAGCAAAACTTAGTCTGAAATCTCAGCCTATGACAGAAATATGCGATCAGCATTTTTATCATTTCAATTTGTATATGAATTAAATAGCATTTATTTTATTCCAATCATTAAGAGAGCGTGCACGGCAGCACGAAGAAAGCCCGTAACATGGCAAAATCAAACCTACTCTTTTTATTACATATTCTGAATCTGTGAGAAAAATTGAGGTTATGAAAAAATTTTGACCGCGTTTTGACGAAAAATGATAAACATTTCCGTATTGAACTTAAATTTGAACAATATGAAAATGAAACAGCGGTATTCGGCAGGTTTATGTTGTACTCCTAAAGATGATAGAAGATAAAAATGAATTACATAAAAATACTTTGGTTAGTAATGCAGGTGACGAGCCACACACTGTATATTTAAGGAAAAATCGTTTATGTTCGAACATCCCCTATCTGGTGTTCACCCTTCAGCGAATATTTTTCCCCAGTTCAGCCCATAAATAAGAGAGGATGCAACTAGTCTCAGGATGCACCTCGTATCAGTCTATTTTCGAATAAACTCAGTAAAGGCATCGTTTCCTTTACAAAAAGCTCTACCACATTTTGAGTAAACAAATTCTATATACCACTGACTCAATCCATTATAATTTAAATACGAGAAAAATCAAGGAAATGCACTTACATTTTGCAGTTTTCATCACCAAATTTCAATTTTTCTCGAAACCAACGTAATATTTTGAATTACCGATAAAAACTGCATTGAACAATCTTTCTTTCAATCGATTTTTAAACAACTTTGATTTTTTCGATAGAATTTTGATAAAAAATCAAAGCTGTCTAAAATATTCCTGAAAGAAAGATTGCTCAATGAAAAATATTCACTGAAGGGTGAACACTAGATAGGGGATGTTCGAACATAAACGATTTCTCCTTAAATATACAGTGTGTGGCTCGTCACCTGCATTACTAACCAAAGTATTTTTATGTAATTCATTTTTATCTTCTATCATCTTTAGGAGTACAACATAAAGCTACCGAATACCGCTGTTTCATTTTCATATTGTTCAAATTTAAGTTCAATACGGAAATGTTTATCATTTTTCGTCAAAACGCGGTCAAAATTTTTTCGAAAAAAAAAACGGTTTCCAAAAGGGTTGAGAGATAATTTAATAACTCAAGACAGTATCTGTCTGAGGTCGAGCCGCTCACGGTGGATTCGTGGAAGAAAAGTGTTTGGAAAAGTCATCATAAGTGTAACGACTGAAAATTGATTTAAACTCTAAGTTTCTTAGAGACCTTCGAAAATTGCTTGCTCGATCAATCATTCGCCTATTCCCTCCATTCAATTGTACGACATAGGCCACGACAGCATAGGAAGACAACACTAGTGCTGTGCTAAAAAAGTCTAACGATGGATCAACTGACCAGTTTTCGAAGAATTCAAGAAACCTTTGAGACGCATAGTGTATGCTAAATTTTAATTAGACTGACTTCATGACTGTTAGAAGTGCAACTGATTTTTTGTGCTCTTATGTTTTGCATGGATCTAATAATCAAATCTCTGACACTGTGAAAACGAAAGCGCAAATGCAAAGTCGGTATTCTGATGTAAAATCTTTGTTGAATTAGGACCATCCACTTGATGACATCTAGTCTCTTGACCCATACAATCATCAGGTACTTCTATTTGGAAGAATCGAGTCAACTGTAAGCGTTGCAAAATTACCCAAGTAGCTCATGTCCAGATTTTATACCGCAAAAAAATAACGGAATGGCACTTCGATGCAAAACATTTTGCTGGAAGTGTCAACAAGGTCGGCATCTGAGCGTTCCTCGAACTATACTTTGACTTTTTTATACTCGCATTTTGACGGGCATCTCGCTCATCGGGGAGAGAGGAGGGGTAGGCTGATAATGCGAGTGAGTGAAAAAGCTGAAAATCGAATGCGTGAAAATTGGCATAACAAAAACCCATAATAAGAGAAAATTTCCAGTATTCACTCTCATGTTGAACACTTAATCCAATCATAGTTGAAACAAGTAGGTGAGTTCCAAGAAGTTTAACATTGCGGTAGACTGTATAGGAGATCTCCACCTATTGGGTTGCTTAAATGCCGGATGATCGCCCACAAGGGATGTCAATACAAATTTCACCTATTAGATTTTTAGCTTTTTCACTTACTCTCATTATCCACTTGCCATCTCACTTCCCGGATGAGCGAGATGCCTGTGACGACGCAAATTAAACGCGAATATACAAGCCAAATCTTGCGAGTCAAAGTATAGTTCGAGGAACGCTCAAACATCAGGCTGCTCATATGTCAGATGACACCCTTATTCACAGTCCCAGCAAAATGTTTTGCATGAGAGTGCCGATAGCTTCTAGTTGACACTCCCTGGGAGTGCCAATAAACTGACGCAAAAAACAAGCATACGATGCAAAATTCTATAGAGTTCGGAGCAACAATTCAAAAACGGAGCTTAGGGATTCCGCCAGACGAATCACGGATTTCGGAAGAAGGACGTAGGATTTTGGATAGAGTCATGCAGGTCACGATATTGGCAATCTGTAGTCTGCCCTCACTGTAAAAAATAATATGTCCTTTGGCGAAACATTTATTCATACATGGAATGGAGATATTTTGTTCTACAGGTAATGTGTCCATACATCACTATTTGTGACACAAAATGTACCCTAAATACACATTTTAGGCCGCAATGGCGATGTATAGACACATTGCCTATAGAACAACATGTGTCAAATCTATGTATTAATGTGTGGTCAAAGAACACATTTTTTATTTTGTTACGCTTCTAATCATTAACATAGTCAAATTTGAAATCTTAAGCGTTTTCGATTTCAAATTTCGATATAAGAAGGTTATTAAAATCAGAAACGGATTTTTTTATACAGAATTTTTAGCATTTTTTGAATATATCTAAAAAGAAAGCATATTTTTCGATAGCTGACAAATGTTGTGGACTTCTCTGGTTCCACCTAGCATGTACCCAATGTAATATAAGGCTGAAAGGTTTTCTGGACACTGGTCGTGTTTCTAACCGATTCGCTATAATGGACTATCTACATTGTGTAAATTTTATTACCAGTAGATGACACTTTTGTGTTATCAAAGTTGACTCATTTCTGGCGACATCTGTCTCAAAACCACAGAAAAGGTCTGCTTAGCGTTTTTCTTTCGGCATTAATTCAGCTATCTCTTCGAATATTTTAACTCTCGTTAAAATAGATTTGTCTAATTTTCTGATTGGCTTATCCATGAAATATCTGACAGCCATTTTTCCGTATTTTGGCCACAGACAGACAACGATGTTGTGAGGCCCTAGACTAAAATCAAGGAAAACATATTGTCATCGGCGGACATTTTTGACAGGTAACTTCTCACAAAGCGTATCCTTTCCTGTCTTTTCTCTACGTATTAAGCGTGTAGATGGTTCTCATTTGCGCTGCATATTTCAATTCGTTATGCAAGACAAAAATGCTTCATCAAAAGTAATTTATTCATTTCTGTGAGTCTGATTTTTATTTTGTGATTATATTTCATCTCTCTCTTCGTACAAATTGCCGTTTGGTCTTTCAGATATGGTCTCGACACACTCATGGCACGCGCTCGAGTCCGATCCTGACTTGTGGCGTTCGTACGTAGAACAATTAGGCGTACGTGCCAATTCTCTTGATTTTGTTGAAATCTATTCGCTCGACAACAGTGATCAGCCAGATGTGCCGATATTTGCCTACATCTTTCTCTATCCGCACGGTGTTTCATCTCGTTTTCCTGCTTCAGACTCTTCTCAGGCTGACACTGACGACAATGTATGGACAATCAAACAAATACCAGAATTGGACAGTTGTTGCGGTCTTATTGCTCTTCTTCATGCCATTGGCAACAATCGAGATTTGGTTACATTTGACCCTGCATCTCCACTAGCTCAATTTTTTGAGAAAACTCAAATGATGACTCCTGAAGAACGAGGAACAGCACTGTTGAACAATAAGACAATTCACCGTGTTCATGAAGAAATAGCACAACAAGGACAAACCGCAGTGGTCGAGAGTGGTAAGGTCGGTTATCACTATGTCGCCTATGTTGTATTAAATGGATCCAAATTCTATGAATTGAATGGCGGTGCAAAGGAACACCAAGAAAGGTTTATTGAGTGCTTGGGCAATGCAACATTTTTCACGCGAGTCTGTCATCAAGTCAAAGAGAAAGTGAAGGCACTCAGTGGAGATATTCGGTTTAATTTAATTGGATTGGCACGAAAATAAATTTTCTGCTTTTTTGAATGTTGTTAATACTGATACTTAATAAAATGTTGACAAATCATCCACTGACCAATACCACCGTCGTCAGGGACAACAAGCGAAAAAGTCGCAATCGCAATGGTTAAATTGTTCAATCCCTGAACATTTGACAAGTCAATCAATGGGATAAAAGTCATGATGTTTTTGCTTTTGAATACTAGAACAGACAAAAAATCTGGTTTGAACTTACTCTACTTCTAGAAATTCAAAAAATTATTTTGAGCAATTGTTTCTAAACAAGCAAATGCTCTCATTACGATCGGAAATGCAGCAGTTTCAATTGATTGTTCTGCCATTTTCAGTCCTTAGAGAGGCAGGAACGAGCAAGTCAGATGTTGGCTAGAGTGTATCTCATTTCGTATAAAACAAAATAGTGATTTGCTCTTAGCATGACTTTTTATATCTAACGGGGGGGCCATAAAGAATGTAGGTCTCAGTATTTCGCTCAGTTTTTATTGTCAAGGTTTTAACTCTTTTTAGAAGATTCATCGTTTCATTCTCTACAAAAAACATATCGAACATTTTTTTTATATACCGCGGAAATAAAGGAAGATAGGTGAAATACTGCGAAGCTTCAATTTCTGTTGCTTTCTAACCCAAAAAACACTTTTTCAGTTATAGCTCTTTGTATTTTGCGATACAGCATAAGAGAAGATGGCCGTTTTATAGCCCTTGAAAAGCTCTACCAATTGGCTATGTTTATAACTCTTTATAATCGCAATTCGTAAGATAGAGAGCTTGTTGTTTTATTGATTTTTATAATAAAGGTATTCCAATTCAGCGTATTCCACTAAAATGGACTAACATTTTTTCGTGCTCGGAATTAAGCAGTTTTGTGTCCGGTTATCTTGATTTGTGTCCAAACTGAGCATATATTTAAATGTTTTCACACTTTTGTGCCCGAAAGCAGAAAAGTATTGGGAATTTCTTTAATTTGTGCCCGGCTGTAATTAAGAAAGAACAATCTTTTTTTAAATTATCCATCTACCATCTTTAGTGGTCCTTGATGCTCAGTAGCAAAAAAAAAGGGCACAAATCAAAGAAATTTCCGATTTTTAATTAAAGATTTAATGTGTAAACATTTAAATTCGGGCACGAATCAAGCTAATCGGGCACAGAAATAAACCTGCTCACTAAAATGTAAATTAATTGATCTTATATTAATTCTGAAATAATCTACCAAACAAGTTACCAAATTAAAGCTCATAGTATGCGCTCACAGTATATACTTTTCCTTGAACTAGTTACTCAGCTGAAATGAATAAACATTTTGGCATCTATGCATGATGACAAAGGATACATTTTGTAGAGAATTCTATTATTGAAAAGTGTTTATCTTGTCAAAAATCGCTAAAATTAACAAGAATAATTTAATCTCATGGAGAAGATTGCTCCAATTCTGATCTTTTCTGATCTACTTTAAATAAATGCTAATGTATTAAAGCAGCGCAATCAGTAACAAAGCGCACACTAATTGAAAAAGAATCTTAACTAACATAAGTTAAACAAGATAATGAGATAAAAGTAAATAAAATCTAATTATTTCATAAAGCAGCTTGATTTCCCCCCTCAAGTATCTCGTTGTTGAAAAAATGCATTATGAAATACTCTGCAAAAGAGTAGAGGTTTGTGACGTATATCTTCAGCCATGGTTATTCATATACCGATCGATAAAAGAGAATTTTATAAAATATTAAATGATGATGATTTGCTATTAAAATTCTTTCGTACACAAAATTCAGCTCAAAGAAGAAATCAACATACATATATTGATGGTACAAGAAAGAAGACGCTTAAGGTTAAGATCTACCAGTCAGCGACGAATCTATGTTGAATTTTCACAGATTGTGCTTGAAGTTTGATGCAAACATTATCAACGCTCTGAATCGAATTTACAAGTTTATGTTGTAGATCTGTTTTATATCTTGTGTAACTTTAATAGTGTGTGAACAAAAGCAAAACGAATAGATACAGAAAAAATTCTTGATGTTTACTTAAGAAGAAAATCAAGTACTGAGTCTATTACTTTAAGAGGACTAATTTCCGCACATTTAATGAAATGCGAGAAAGACTGAAACATTTCTTTTGAGAAAAATAAAGTGGATGCTCTTGTGGGAACATGATCTTATTTTGTTGGTTCGTGTTTAATTTTTATTCAATATATTCTGTAAAAATAAAATTCAGCAATCTTTTATTGTAATATAGCTGCACTCGTATGGCATATCAAGAATGCATCCGTACACCAATCGTCTAACTAAAACACAACATTGTTATAGCTGGCAGCATATCCAACTCCATGATATGTTAACGATCGATCACGTCGACGGCGTAAATGTATAACAATAATTAACGTAGCAGCGATGGCTACCACAGTAGCAATGCTCAGAATAACTACTATAAGGTAAATATATGATCTTGATTTTTTATTTTTAGTACGAGTTGTCTCTCCGGCTTTGCCGGTGGGTGTTTGTTCGTTAAAAGTTGGATGAGAGTCATCACCGCTTATTGGTTTGATCGTGCCGCTTAAATAGATTTTTGGATCGGGAATACGGTACGTGCAGCCACATTTTGAACTGAAAACTAGCCATTTGATACAGCGTTTAGCCGAGTTACTATTTTGTTCATCAATAAAATTTATTAAAAATTGTCCTGCATGAATAGCGTAACGTTCCATTAATTGATAGATGCCAACCACTTGTTCGACATTTTTAGATGGAAATTCATAGATTTCATTCACACTGGTTTCCTCAGAAAATTGAACTTCAGTTTCAAAGCTTTTTTTGAAGGATATTTGAAGACCCAAAATAAACTTAACTGGAATGGTTGCTCCGATATTTAGTCCGAAAACATCAATATTGCTCTTTGATATTCCACGTGTCACCGTGTATCCTGTTCGATGCGATGAACCTGGTTGGATTATCGACTGTGTAGAAATTAATTGCCAGTAGGAAGATCGCGTTGGAAATGTATCGTGTAAGAAATCAGACGAAGAAGTATTTAGCATGAGAAAAAACAGAAGATCATTTTTTTTTGCCTTAACAGTTGTTTTTGTTCTCACCATGTTTCCATCCGGTTGCATGATTCCGGTCACTGCTCCGTCCTTCATTGGTTTAACGTTCGAACTGCATTGCTCTTCTGTACAGTAACAGCCAACTGGGATATAGCCGTCGACAAACTTACCATGAATTGTTACCGAATCACTTACCTTTGGAAGACCGACTTTGGTGACATTAAGCGGTATACGCGGTAGTGGAGGTAAATCGATTTCTGGAGAATGTTGGGTATTGATGGCATGGATCAACATAGACATGATCACAGTTAATCGGAACATGTCTGAATGAGAACAGAATTTAGAAGATTTACCGACTTTTGCTAAACCACGTCTAGAACTACTTCGATTATTTCCGTAGAAAAACCAAATCATAGCTGAAAAGATCATAGAGAATGTATTAAAATGATTTTCAGCTTGAACAGTATGCTCTTAGTATTTCGAAAATCTTTTTCAAAACTCTTATGAATTATTTAAGGTGAGATCGACGACAAAGACTGATGAATATTCATCCAATCTCCATTTTACGGTACCGTAAAGAGACCGTATTTTTCTTTCAAGTGGGAATTAAGCAAAGTCTAGCTCTACCCTAAGGATCTATTCGTAATTCGTGCTAATAAAGCCATTTTGTACAAAAGTGGCTTATAGCAAAAACATTATGTTACTTAAGCTAATCGAGTGGTAGACTATGCTTAATTACCATTTGAAAGAAAAATCTTTAAGCTACAAAATAAGACGTTCCCCACTTCCGTGCGTTGATCGGCTAAAAAGCTATCTGTCTCACAACACGTCACGAACTTATGTGAAAGCGAACTTTTACGTGAAATGGTCAAAAATAGAATAAAAGAAAATATTATCAAAAAATTGGCTGACTTCGCATAATGTAAAAACATATCACCTTAGCAAAGGCACAAAAAAGAGAGAGGGCAAAAAAAGATCAGTCAGTTTTGATAACACAAAAGAGTCATCTACGGATAATAACACTTAAATCCCCTTACAGAATAGAAGCCCATTCGGAATAGAAGTCCAGTCCGGAGGTTATAATTTTTCAGACATATTAGAAGCCCATTCTGTCCAAAATGAGCACAAAATAGACAATTTAAAAAATTGGACAAATTACCTCAGTGCTTCTTACTGTATTATTGTAGCTGAGTTGATATGCCTAATTTTCCTTAGGCTACATACTTTTTGTCAACAGATAAGCGAATATCTGTCAAGTATTAACAAATTTTTATGCGTCTGTGTTAATTGTCAAAGAACTATTGAACAGAAATTATGATATGCATGAATGTCATAGAAATAAAAAAACGTCGAAAGAAAAAATATCGAAAGTATTATTAATGCACCTTTACATTCACTAATCATATGTAAATACAAGACATAGATCCTTCTGCAGATTAAGCTAATTAATCTGCTCACGCAGTGTTGATGAACGGGTGTACTGAGGCTGCATTAACAGCACTTTCGATATTTTTACCTTTGGCGTTTTCTATTTCTACCTTTATACCATTCAAAATTATGCATGCAATAATATTGTTCTGTTAAGCTTCTTCCTCTTACAAGATTATGTATAATTCAGAAACGAAATGTTGAGATTTTTTATTGACTTTGCAGCAATGCAAGCAAGTCTTTGATTGAAGAATGTGACTTGTAAGAAAGCTGACTAAGAGCAAATACGAATTACGCGATAATTTGTTAAATTTAAAAATAAATGTCACTGTGGAATGATACAATATCAATTATTATAATACTTAGAAGATTTGAATCACCTATGTTTCAAAGAGTAAAAGACCTTTATTGTGTAGTCACACGTTTATTTTATATTTCTGCGGCGATAATTACAATATAGCTCGTTTTCTATCTGAACTGTGCATAAGCTATCATGATGAGGTCGTCTAGCGGAACTATATCAGTGTATGCCTAGCAGAAGTCTCTTTTACAGTCCTTCAAAACTCGACATGTTCAAAATCAACATATGGTGTTAAATACAGTTTTTCATATCTATGGCAAGATCCACGAATTGCTAAGCGTACGTGAGTATGTGAATGTAAAACGTCGTGTAAACAGTATACTACTATGTCGATTTGATAATATATAACCTGAAAAGAATTGGTAACCAGTTCGTAGTTCCTAAGAAACTATGATAAGCACTCTGAAAGTTGGCAGACAACTTGATAATCTCGATTTGCAAAATTTTAACATTTTTTCTGCTTGTAAGCTAATTAAATCTTAGCTGTACTATGAGAAAAATTGATCGCAATAAAAGCCCATGTCCAAACTTCTAATTTTCAAAACAAATTAGAAGCCCAGTGGGCTTTTATTCTGTGAAGGGGTTTACAGCATACAGTATACTTTCAGTTTCCTTGGGTCTTCAGAGGGTATCCAGAAAACTTTCTAGCTTTAATTACACTGGGCACTTTTCCCACGGAATCAGAGAAGTTCGCAACACTTCTCAGCTATCCTGGCTGCGAACAAACAAGCGCCCTCTCATATGAGAGTAGCACAGAGAGAGGTATAGTACGAAACAATTTCTACTACTATACCTTCAAGAGGTGTGTTATGAAACCTGTTCGAAACAGAAATCTTGAAGAGTATGATACAAAATCTTGAAGGGTATCATACGAAATCTTTTCGACTACTAAACCTTAATGAGGTTTCGCAGAATACCTGATTGGTATGGGAAAGTTCCGCGGAGAGGCATGTTAGAATATCAGTACGCAGTATATTCTCAAAAAGCGACTGTGTTTTTAAACGTGCAGGGCTTAGTGTATTCTCAATGAGAACGAGAATACACCAAGCTCAGCACATTTTATAGAAATTTATATATTTGCGTATTCTTGTGTTCCAGCCAGTTTAGAAAATGGTTGCTTTTTGAGAATACACTATGAATACAAAAATGCAAAATTGAACGGGCTACACAATGAGCTATAACACATTGTTGTGAAAGTTTGTCTTCGTAGATGTATTGGATAAATACTTGACAAGTAGCACGATTTTTCTTATAGTGACACATAAAAATAGTTATAGTTCTTCTACAGACAGAGATTAGGCATAGTTAGTATATAGAAAAATGCAAAATTGAAAGGACTATCGAATGAGCTATAGCACATTCTTTCAAATAGTAAACTTGTTAGACTTATGAGTAAAAATATGAAAGACATATTTTTCTTGTTTTTTGTTTAATTTCGCTATTTTTGCAGACATTTGGCTTTTCTTAAATTGAATGCTGTTTGATGAAACAGTGCTGTAGAGCGCTCAGAGACATCTTAATTTGTTCAAAAATGTTTTCTGTACACGATAAAGTTGTTACAAGACAAGTATCATTCGAATATGAAGGTTTAGTTTTCTAGAGTTTAACTTTTCTAGAAACCTGAATCCTAGAAACTTTAATGTAGTCTTTATTTGCTACGAATCAGATTGGAAACTCCTCGAGCCATGAAAATCTTTTTTCAGATATGGTATAGCTATTATCTGCGTGGAGAAAAACTGAAAATACACATGGGTCAATAGGTTTGAGAATCACCGTAAATAAAAATCGAGATAGTCATATACTATTCAGAATACAATTACTTGACGATATACTTTCTAAAAACTCTAATGTATTTCAAGTTGAAGCTCGCTAAATTCTGTATTTTTTTATATCATAACCATTCTGGATCTGATTTTGTTTACAGCACTATAGTTCACCAACTCTTCTACAGCAGGTCAAAACCACTGCATCCGTTCACTATCTTGCCCGTAAGTCTAACAAACTTACCATATGAAAGAATGTGTTATAGCTCATTCGACAGCGCTTTCAATTCTTAAGAATAGACAAGAACGTTGGTAGGTAAGGCTGTAGAAATATAGTCGGGCTAATGTTTTGCCAGAATACTTGCTGCTTTCAAACATCTTTCGAATTTTTTCCCACATTTCCTATCTATGCTGAAATTTTCAGTCTTTTTTTTTTTCGCTTACTCTTTTCATTATTCCTTTCCTCTTCCTTTCTATTTCCTCTCATACTTTTGTGAAAACTGTGTAGGATTTGTCTGTTTTACGAAGGAGATGGAAGTTTGAGTTTATAAATGAGGATTTTTATGATTTTCAAGTTTGTCTTTGTCAGTAGCTGTAAACTTTCGGAGTGAGATTGTGATTAATCAAATTTCAATTTTACAGCTACCGAATCGACTAGTAAAAGACAGTGTATTATTGATCTGATGTTGTTGGACACACGTTTTAAAAATTATTATCATATCTCTTCGTATGGACAGAAAAAGGAAGCTATTAATTAGCAGTTTCTCTCGCGAGCTTCTATTCTTATTTAACTACGTTCTATTTATACACCTTCTATGTTATAGTCCAACAGTTCAGGAGAAGCTTTCACATTTTTGCTTCGTAGAAGCAACGCTAACAAGCTAATATTTTATTATATGCAATGGAGATTACATATACGGGACTTCCATAGATAATGTTTGACCAATAACTCTATGAAGACATTAGTTTGAAAAGATGTGCTATAGATCATTTTAAAGCTCGTTCAATTACGCATGTTTTCGTATATAAGATTCTATTAAGAACATCAAACTTGAAGAGAAAAATGGATAAATACGATCGAATAGGCTTTTCGGACCAATACTTTGAAATGATCAAAAATTTCAGCATATGGTAGTCTACAATCAAGTGTTAGGCGCAGAAAGATTAAAATCTAAATAACGAACTGTTCCTGATCAGTTTCAGTCGTTATCTTCTCAAAAATACATGGGGCCATTTTCTTGCAGAAACCGTCCGCTGTTCTTTATTTTCTCTATTTTTTTGCAGTTTTAGAGCTTTTTTTAAAGCTATACTAATGCATATTTACAACTAATAAGTTTCTCACGTTGAATGGTGGATGCTACTTAGTGACAAATTGTTTCTACATACTGAAGTAATAGTCATTTTGGGTTGACAAACGTGCGAAGTAAGATGCGTGCGAAAAAAGTTCTCTAGTCTTAGCCGCCATTTCGTGCCGTGTGTTTACCTGCTGTTTTTATTTGTAAAATATACCTTAATTCAAATATGTTTCTGTGGCAGATTTAAATTGTTTTTGTCACTTAAACTAAAAATTGCTTTTTACGTTCTTTTTTTCGTTTGTAAGATATAACTGTTATTTTTTATTGTTGACATCGTTCGTGAAGTGCGAGAAATTAAATTAATGTGCTAAATCAAAAAAATAATACTGAATACTTCTCCACACGGCAAATGTGCCCATGTCGGAATACATTTATTCTAGAATGCCT